AGGCGCAATGATAATAATTAACATATAACATTTTAAACAACAAGGGATGGTTTAAAGGTTCCTTATATGGCAACTAACTACGTCATGTGACGTCAAGGCGCAATGATAATAATTAACATATAACATTTTAAACAACAAGGGATGGTTTAAAGGTTCCTTATATGGCAACTAAATCACGTCATGTGACGTCAAGGCGTAATTATAGCAATTAAAAAATAACTTTGTAAACAACAAGGAAGGTTTAAAGGTTCCTTATGTGGCAACTAAACCACGTCATGTGACGTCCAGGCGCAATGATAATAATTAACATATAACATTGTAATCAACAAGGGATGGTTTAAAGGTTCCTTATATGGCAAATAGCACGTCATTTGACGTCCAGGCGCAATTATAGTAATTAACAAATAACTTTGTAAACAACAAGGGATGGTTTAAAGGTTCCTTATATGGCAACTAAACCACGTCATGTGACGTCCAGGCGCAATGATAATAATTAGCATATAACATTGTAAACAGCAAGGGATGGTTTAAAGGTTCCTTATATGGCAAATAGCACGTCATTTGACGTCAAGGCGTAATTATAGCAATTAACAAATAACTTTGTAAACAACAAGGGATGGTTTAAAGGTTCCTTATATGGCAATTGAACACGTCATATGACGTCCAGGCGTAATTGTAGTACTTACCAAATGACTTTGTAAACAACAGTTGGTGGTTTAAAGGTTCCTTATAGGCTTATATACATCAATGCTATTATAATAACAACATTTTTTCGTTCTTTTTTTCAGTGATTTTTTTTGGAGTGAAATATATTGTTTCTCTTTTTATGTATATTTTTCCTGTTGTTTCATTTGGTTTATCATTATTTTAGACGAGCGTTCATAGTTCAGTTAGTCTCTATTTTTGTTTATGAAAATAGGGTAACCATAGTCCTTTTCGGTCGTGCACAGTCTCCGTTGGACCATCGCCGTTCGCCGTTCGCCGTTCTCCCCGTCGACAACATTTTTTGAAATAGCTGTATAATATATTGAGTAATATGAAAAGATTGCACGCAGAATCAAGTGAAAAATCTTAGATAGTGAATCACGGCGCTGAAATATATTCCAAGGAAAAATTCGATATATAACAACGAACATTTTAGATTGCCCTGGTTCCTGAGGCTTGGCTTGTATCCTCGTGCTTATTACGTGGGCTTCCTGTGGAAGATCACGTCTAAAAATGACAGTGGACTTTTCTTCTCCGTCGTAAATATTGTATCTCAAAGTGGTAGCGACTGCGTTGCTGATGGTTTGCAGTCTCAGTTTCCATGGGGTTGTCAAACTGAACCAATCCGCGCTTTGTTTTCATTTTTAACATTATTGTTTTGTACGTCAGTCGGCCTCGTGGGCTGATCGCGATATCTACAGCTTCACTGTGACCAGCTGGTTTGTATGATAAGCTATGAATGCAAAACCAAAACATGGTAACAAAATCAAAGGATGTAGTAGTACTTAGTTCAGTTCGATAAAAAATTAAGATGTAATAAAGATGTAAATTACTTATATTGACTTAGTTCTGTCTTGAACTATTTCAAACAAAGACTCTATCGTGAAAATGAAATACTTATAGCTTAATGATGGCAGCTGACCACTGTCGCAGCTACAGGAAGCCCACATAAGCGATCTATGATCGTCTAGTTATTTTTTGTTGAGATAGAGGCGCAGCGAGAGACCTTTTTTTTAAACGCAACAGTACACAGTGTCAGTGATTTCACAAGCTCCTTTTGAACACATTGTAAATCCTCTTTTTTTGTAGTGTAAAATCCATTGATAGTAAGCTAAACATAATAAATTCAAAATTTTGTATTCAATGTTCATACATAATTAATGAGTTATTAGGCCAATAGAATGAGCCTATTTGGTCACATGCATGGACCTTTATATCTGATAAAACACTCCTCATTAGTATTTTTTATATAAAGAATACTAATAAGGGTGACCTTTATCAGATATAAATGTCCATGACCCTAGCAAAGGTCTCAGGTTTGAAACCTGATCATTGACCAATGCAGTATGTCAACCGATTACAGTGAACAGCCAAGAGCCCTTCTATTTTACTTTATGCGTATATATTCAATGTGGGATGACAAGAGTGCTTTGTAAAGTGATTTGCGCATGATTAGTTTGCCCCATTTATCTCTGAACATATTTGTACGGCAATTTCTCCAAGAATTTTAACGGATTTGAGTTTCAAATTAGTGTTGGAGTTTTTGAAGCCATTTAAAACACTCGAGATCGTGTTTTATCAGGTATAAAGATTCTCGCCTTCGGCCTTCGGCTCGAATCTTTATACCTGATAAAACACTCGCTCTCGTAAAAACTTTAAACTATACTTAATCATTTTCTGTGAGATATACTTGAACCCGGAAATATTCSAACAAGTTTGCGTCCTCTGACGCAAACAATGTCTGKGATTGGTTTAAACGTTAATACACCTTTTCARTTGCTCTTAGGCCTCGACAGCGTGTTAAATATTCTTTTGAATTTGTAGGAATGTGAGCAATGCAAACATTGATATGAATARTCTCATTTKTCAARTTCAAAAGAATAATTAACTTACTRTCGAGGCMTAAGTGWMACTGAAAAGGTGTATTATGCAAAAAGAAAAGAAACCTTAAAGTGCTCACGGTTCGATTACTCACACTGTAAACAAAACGTAAATATTAAAATTMCAATTAAGTTCGCATARTATTGAACTGTCCAGCGTATAATATTTTTCTTACCAATGGAAATCATTAAATGCAGTTAACCCTAGGAATCTTTCRCTTCTACTGTTATTGTACTGTTCCTAGTAACAGATCGAGGCTCGCTTTCCTCCAATTCATTATTCAGACACAGATGCCGGTACGAGTCTGCTAGTCTGACTCAGACAGATATCCAGTCCAATTATCACTGCAGCAAATGAAGCTACCATCCACAAATGATAGCACCACCTTTTATACCCTTTCTCTTYAAGGATATCATCTGGGTATTTCCAAGTCGCGCAAATTCTTTGATAKGTGATTAATTCACAGAGTTTACGGACCTCTTCCATAGTATCACGTTCACGCCGATTTGAGGGCTGTTTATCTTTGAATGAAATCGCCAATTCATCCAGYACATTGCAGAGATCCACAGACGAGATCCGCGTCTTTTTTCCTTTYACTTGACAGAATGTGAGACAGTTTAGCAGTTTTCCCCTAATTGAGAGTACCTCGAGATAGCCGTCTCTACTACTGTAATCATCCTTATTTAGCATGCCAGCATCTAACAGAAGCTGGAAGAGTTTCTGCTGTTCTTCTTTGTACTTTTTGTTCAAATTCTTTACCTCACTACTTGTAAGAGTTGAAGGGCATTCAGTTGTAGGAGGCAATATATCTAACTCTCGTAATTTTTTGGTGCTTATCCGGCTTTTGTGCAATGTTTCGTWAGCTGTTTCTTGTATCTGAAAACTTTTTATAACGTTTTCTAAAAATCTTGTTTCGCGAAGGTTGAGAGCTTCGGCCTTAGAATTGATCATGTCTTCTATTTCTTTTGGATGAAATCCCTTTTTACTCATACATACAGAGTATTTTGGTTTTGGTGCAGTTTGCAACGATTGACCCATGTTGCATGATCTGTGTTATGTAATGGTTTTGTTGTAGCAACTATGTAAGTGAAAATATCTCTTCTCTCCTGCAAACATTAACGCTGATGTCCTGCTGTGTGTTTTGTAATAAGCTTTTGTCCTGAACGACACACCCTGTCTGGAGACCTCAGTATATGAGGCAAACTGTATAAATTGATATCTAGCAGATCAGGAAGTCCAAGTCTAAAATCAAGATTTATACGAACTTTCCGGTGACCAAATCCCATAATTTGATGATTTACTTATATTTTCATATAGAATGCGTTAGCATGACGCTCGCGCGCCTGGTTATTTACCGAATAAGGAACCTTTAAACCATCCCTTGTTGCTTACAATGTTATTTGTTAATTACTATCATTACGCCTTGACGTCACATGACGTGTTATTTGCCATATAAGGAACCTTTAAACCATCCCTTGTTGCTTACAATGTTATTCGTTAATTACTATCATTACGTCTGGACGTCACAAGACGTAGTTAGTTGCCATATAAGGAACCTTTTAAACCATCCCTTGTTGTTTACTACTATTTTCAACTCTTTGTCATCATTTGATGTCATTAGCCGGGGGGGGGGGAATACTCCCCTATATTCGCTATACGGGGACGTGCCGCCAACCAGGGTATCGTTTTCAGCGATTTTACTCTGGAACAGGGTCAGGGTTTTGAGGTCCCAGCGGCACACCCCCACACAAGTTTCGGGGGAGTACCCCCCCCCCCCCCCAACCGGGATCATTAGCTTTGCAACTTGCTTTATAATAATGGTTTAGAATACCATTTAAATTCACAGATTTAAGTGTCCATCTGCTTTAATGATACATTCGCAATTCATCACGTTTTTCCTTCGGTAATATACTCTCAAAGTCATCTGTACAAAAGTTCACTGAGTATGTGAATTTATTTCCTGCTGAAATGAAATGCTTGGTAGATTTCATGATGATCTATTCGCGRACTGTTTGAAGGGGCTCCTAATAAAGGAAAAGAAAATATATATTTATTAGAAATGCGCGTTGTGTAAAGTTGACCATCTGCTGATTAAATACAGTTGGTCACGTAATATTATATTAACGCGTTCACGCTAACTTAAGAAATCCTACAAAAATCTACAAAGCCGCCATTTTCTTGTCCACCTAATACGGCGCTTGGACTCGTAAGGTACGGCGGTTGGTTGTGACTAATTGCTCAATTATATATGTTATTTACCGGGCTGGGAGGTCCGTATAGGAAAACACTGCCCGAGGTCTTGACAGTACGGAACGAGCGCAGCGAGGTCCGTACATAAAATACCGAGGGCAGTGTTTTCCTATACGGACCGACCTATAGCCGGTAAATAACATTTTTATTTTTTTTATTTGTTTTTTTTATTTCTAGCTGCAGCATACCGTCGGACCGGGCAGATCGTGAAAAACCGGACCGCGCGCTAGCCAATCACAGCGCGCGAATGACTAGGATACCGGACCGAAAAAAATAAAGTTAGACACTATTAGCTCTATTAAAAATATGTGCTTTATGTGCTTGAAGAGGGCGGGTGCAACGTTTAAAATTAACTAGAACTTTAATTGAAAACTGAAAACTCAACGGTGTCAGATTCTGTGCTTTACCAAAAATATTTTTATCACTCACCACCCTAACACTGCCAATCTTTGGTCTTAGATTCCTCCCTCCCCCTCCTAGTAAATATTGCGCAGTTCCCAAGCCATATGGTCACACCAAAATATTTTTTCACTCACCACTCTTACACTGCCAATCTTTGGTCTTAAATTCCTCCTTGGTCCAGATAACTTCCTTCTCGATTCAAATTGATCCTCCCAGTTTCCAAGTTCTTGTGGTTTGATAGATCCACGCACCTCAAATTCTCGAGAACAAGTAGACATGTTTCTTTTKCCGGGTGTTAAAGTGTCGTCTATTTGAACYTCYTGCTTTGTTGTATTGAAAAACGCAGGCACACTCCCGCCCCATGAGTCTCTTTTCGGCGTATAGGATATATGGGCTARGGTGTTTCTTTTGGCCCCAGATGGCTTCATGACTTTGATCTCTTTGATCTCGGTACTGTGGTCAAGATCCATGRCGTCATTTGTGGAAGAAACTGTTGATAATCTTTTTTCTGAAATTACAAAAATCATTGATTCAACGTGACAGGATTTTGTTTTTCGTTATATTACTCTCTTAAAGGGACATGGTCTACCAGCATCCCTTTCGAGCTTTGGCTAATTTGATACATAAAAAAATATATCGTAGTATAAGCAAAAGCTTATTCTTTACTATGCCTTATGCTATATGAATGGAGACAATGAGTAAGATTCGAACTTTAAACCGATGGATGGAAACGGATTGCAAATGGATGTTTAAAGGTAGGCACCTCATTTTCCATATATGAAAAATCTAAAACACGACCGCATTGAATGCTGGTGGACCATGTCCCTTTCAGAGGRTTGATAATACTGAAGAGTTTTAAAACCTATAAGAAATATAGAACACTACTGGTTTCCAGACCTCCGTCCATAATAATTCCCACGAAGAGTGGAAAGCACTGCGGCGAGTACTTTATGTAAGATCCGACCCGATATATCGATATATAACTTAAACCTAACCCTGATACAGTAATATATAAGTAGAAAATCAAGTGCCAATTCATGGGGTCTTGAAGTACTGACAGGCACTGCCCTCCGACCACCGGGGAAAAGTATCGCCCAGTTGTAATAAGAAGTAAAATGCCTATTAATGAAATACAATGACAAAATGGCCTATAGATCGGGGATTTGTCTGTTTATAAACAAGAAAAGAAAGCTATCCATCGGCGGGATAGGGCCGGTTCACACTAAAACATAAGCAGAAACMGAAGCAGAAGCTTGTTCACACTTTACAGAAGCACGTCCTTCTGCTTATGATGTCCGGGTTCACACTCAATCTTTCAACATAAGCAGAAACACAAGCAGAAGAAGATGAAAAAGTTTTCATTTTCATCTATWTTTTTCTCTGCTTCTGTTTTCTCCGGTTCACGCATACCAAATACACTTCTTCTGCTTCTGCTTATGTCACAGTGTGAACCGGCCCATTACGTTATCCACTCCAAAGATTGATTGAATCTATCAGGTAGWTATGTCCCCCTTGTAGAAGATTTTGTCTAAAAGAACTGGGAATTGTAATAAGTCGTGGCTTCGCTCGCCAACMTTTAAGTTATCATTTGGACTAATACTAAAAGTCCCTTAAAAAGACATCAAAGAGAAGCACACTTAATTCATGTATAGCGCTTCAAGATAACTGTCTGAAGTAACATAACTTACTTTCCGATTGATTCAAATAACCCATTTTTTCTCGACTGCTGACTCTCTCAATCTTCTCTCCAGTTTCTTTGTCTTTTTCAGTTTTTCCCCCTAAGCTTTTGCCCTTTTTGCCGTTGCTGCTCTCAGAAAGTTGACAAGAAATTCTCTCCACGTATCTATCGTCTTTGCGATTGCTTTGAGAACACGACGAACACAAACCCATTTGCCATTGAGGAAGAGAAGTCGCGCAAACCACATACGACCGCTATTAGCTAAAGAGGATTCTTCAATCAATTATCCAATTAGAAARCGAGAAAGTAATCACGTGGTAACTATGACGTCATACACTAATTAACCTCTGAACGAAGAGAAACAGCGCTCTAATGCGCACGCGCAYAAGATCTAAATAACAAACAAGCACCAATAGCGAACGAAACGAAACAAACAAGCARGAACCACTGACGTCCTTTCGTGCTTTTTATTACAATAAATTATATGTCCACAATTTGCTAAGAATTTTCTAAACTTTCTTTGACTTTCATCATGAGCTCATCTACTGCAAATTGGTAAAGGTCTTGGTTTACTTTCTGCAACTGGCTGACTTGATGGAGCAATTCTTKTCGATCTAAAGTCCGATTATTTGCTTCRTCTTGCTGTACATCGGAACAATACTAAAAAACAGGAATGTTATATGTGGACTTTGAAGTTTAAATTATTTGAAAACATCTATGGCGGCTATTTATTTCTAAAAACTAAAAACAAGAACAAAAGAAATTCAACACTAAAAGGAAACTTACTTCGTTTAATAGGTTCTGTAAATCACTTTTCATGTCATAGGAAGCCTAAAAAGACAACAACAAAAAAGACAAAATAAAACACATACTACAAAATCCACTAACTGAGCAACATCTATACGCAAAATTGCGTCGGCGCATATTGCCAGGTTGGCCACTGAAGAGAGCCTGATACTCATGCTAATTGACCAAGTGCATAACCAATTTAMCCGCTATGACAATAATTCTATCCCAAAACTTACCCACTAGCTAATTAGACGGGATCAATCCAAATGACTAATGGAAACTTAACGGGACATGGTCCACCAGCATTCAATGTGGTCGTATTTTAGATTTTTCATTTTATTTATGGAAAATGAGRTGACTTGGAATATCCATTCGCATTCCGTTTCCATTCATGAGATTAAAGGTCGAATCTTACAGTATCTGCATRCATATATTCTTATATTACGATGTATTTCTATTTTCAAACATGAATAAAAGCTCGAAATAGATGCCGGTCGACCATGTCCCTTTAAAACGGAGTTCAACAACCAAAACATAAAGCCGACCCGACTACAAATTGTCCAACTATTACCTCAGTTAAAGACTCATTAAAAACCATAGGGACATCTCCAGTARGACTGTCTTCATTTGACTCATTGTCTTGCGTGTGTAGATGCCGTTTAAATGGCTGGATAGGAGGCCACAAGGTTCTTGGCAGAGGTTCATTGATATTAGAAGGACGGTGAATTATTTTAGCATTGGTAACTGCACCTGGACATCCGGAAACAATGGTGCGACATTAGACTAGTACTCATTTCTTACTCAATTAATTTGCCGCGTCTAAAAGAAATTTGACCTTCCATTGATGCAACGCGAGCTCGCTAAGTCCTTCCCATCAATCTTCACGTATAAGAAGAAGGCTGAGTATGATTCATAGGCTGCTCAACTATTGCTTGTATTGTCCGTTACCTGTAGCACACGCCGCGACCCCGGGAGGCACGGGATCATGATGTAATACCACAGGTAATCCGCATCTCACTAAGAGCGTGCTTTGATAAATAAAAGCGGGCATTCTTTATTTTTTTTGTAAAGCAATAGTTGCACAGCCTGTGTTTAGGCTTGATATATTAATAGTATGTAGAATTAGATTATTTTCAATTAGAATGCACTGCTTTATTCAATACCTTTATGAGAAATAGTTCTAGTGCACTGTCTACTGGGGATATGCCATGTCCGCGCTGTACAGTCMAGTGACCCTGATACCAGCAATGAACCATCCATTGAGACTGACAGACTAGTAATTGATTTACTACAAGAATAAAATATAGACAGTGAGTGATAGTAGAGGAAGACTATTAATACTGACCATGGTCAGAGCAWGAAAAAATCACAGCTTTTAGCTATAGCCATAGTTGATGAAGAACAAGAGAAAAAGTCAAACAAATTGGGATTTGTGCTATGGTTTCCTTGGCAGTTTGAGAGAATGTTCACTAATGTGAGAGATGCATTGTAAATATTTGTCTGTATGAAAGAAAAGCAGGTGTTTATGGAGTCGTCTGCTATAAGAGTGTCTTTAGGTGGATTTGAACAAAGTGATTTGTGTGTATGTACCTGTGTCCTTTGAATACTTGTGAATGGTCATTCTCMACATGATTGACTTCTTTAATTGCCTAGTAAAAAAAAATAAAAATGAATATGTACTTCAATAAATAATGCACAAATGGAGGTTTGCACTGTGTGCACTTATGTAGTCTGCATGCATCTGAACCAAAACTGTTGGGTATGAGAAAGGTTGCATGTAGTCTATGTATTGCTCTGCAATGGCAAAGATCACAATGCTGACAATGCACAGCATTGAGCTTTGCCAAGTCTAGTATTGAAGCCATAAAAATATTCAGCCGAGAAAAGATCACCACTCCTGTACAGTGTAGTCATGGTAGAGTAAGATACACCTATTTCAAAAAACGTTGTCGTCACCAAGACACAGTCCACAGTCTTGAGCCTGCAAAGAATCTTGGGGTTGCCATGCATAATTAATATATTCAAAATATTTTGTGGTTTGAATTCAATGGAGGCAAACACTACTAATATACTATTGCGGCCCATCGAACGTTTTAAAACGTCAATGAGTTTCAAAGCTATATTCGCCGAGAATAATCCAGTTTCGTATTCTTCAATGCTCTGTGTTAGCCTAATTTGTTCGCAAAATATTCTTAATAATCCAGTTTCGAATTCTCCAATGCTCTGTGTTAGCCTCATTTGTGCGCAAAATATTCCTAATTGCGAGAATAAAAGTGTGAGATTTCAAATCAATTCTATTGTCTTTCTTGTCAAATTCCATGCGTTTTCTCGGGCTATCATTGAAACAAAAGAATTTGTTGCTTGGTTTTGAGGCTAACACAGAGCAAACCAGAACTCGAAATCGGAGTATTGTGAGAATAAAAGTGTGAGATTTCAAATCAATTCTATTGTCTCTCTTTTCAAATTCCATGCGTTTTCTCGGGCTATCAATGAAACAAAAGAATATGTTGATTGGTTTTGGAGCTAACACAGAGCAAACCAGAACTCTAAATCAGAGTATTTCGAATAACTGAAATTGAACACATAATATATGGCAATCCCGAGATTCTTTGCAGACTCAAGACTGTGGACTGATTCCTGGCGACGACAACGTTTTTTGAAATAGGTGTATATCAGGTTTTTGCATGTCACTCAAACAAATATGGTCTAAAACTTTGTCCATACTTACAGGACTATGTAAATTCACTTGATAAATATTTCCATGGAAGCCACCAGCAAAAAGGTGATACTCAGAAGGGTCTGTAGTTATTGATGTTATGCCGCAGTCATACACAATAGAGCAAAGCAGCTCACCAGAGCCTAGGTTATATATCTTAATAATAAAGAAGAGATTATGAGTGGATGAATTGAATGAAATGAAAGAAAAATGAAAAAAATTAGCAATTTAGCACTACATGTATGAACAACAGACTAATGCAGAAACATRGGGATGGGGTAGGAGGGGTGCTGGTTTGAACCAGAACAATAATTMGTTACCTTACAAGTTTGATCCAGAGATGATGTGAATACATGAGCCYTCAAYCCCCCACAACCACAATGGATGTCAGTGACTGGTAATGAGTGGTCAGACCAAGTATGCCGTGGAGCTAATGACTGCTCTTGGGTTCTCACRCCACTTGTTTTACWGAGAACTCTTAAAGACCAGACAWARATGRAAGRTTATTAACAGCGACAAAATTTATAATGAATTTTAATTCATTATTAAAAGTGYATTGYCTTAGACCCYGCCTTACGGACACAATAACTGTTGTTATCTCTACTTACTGTGCCATATTCCACGTCATGACCAGATTATCATTTCCTCCTGACAGGAAGTGGGTACCATTGTCAGTGAATACTAAACAGGTGACTTTTTGAAAATGTCCAGGAAGGATGACCAGTAAATGACCAGTTGCCACCTAAAAGGAAAGAATTTTAGCATGAAAAAATSAATGGAAAGTGTAATGAAAAAGAAAATATTGTATGCACAATTCTTAAATCTTAAAAATAATATCTCTGGGTTGCTATGCTAATTTTCATGAATATATGGGTACAAGAATAAATGAAGAGATGATAGAATGGATGGATGGAGCATTATTTCATTAACAAGGAAATAAACAAATGATAATGAAAAAAGAAAACAATGAAGAAATCAGAAATAAAAGAAATTAATGAACGACGAAAATGAATTGCTGAGTAAATGAAAAAGTGCATAAATAAATGAAATAATTAATATTGTTGATGGTCAAAATATGGCAATAGCTACCTGCCAAATGTATATCTTTTCTCCACATGCCACAACACAGTAATTACCATCAGGTGAACATATGATYGCTGACACCTTGGCCGGGCAAACTTGCTTCATATAAATTTGTTCCTAAATGTTGATAACGTGGGAATTATAAATCAAATACATAATTAATACAATCACAACAAGACRTTGAATGCAAATTAAGGGAACGATCTTTTTAGTTTCTATCAGTTTAAAGCTTCTACTCGTAAAAAATATTGATTTGATGGCAAAGAAGTAATACTGCGTAGCAAGATGTTTCAAGCTTACCTTGGCGACGTTCCACACATGAAGGACAGATTTGTTCTCTTGCGCTGCTACTAAATACTGCTTTCCTAACAAACTTAACGCATGGGTTGCACAGCCACTACCTTTATAAGTCTTGATCTGCATTCCTGATTGAAGTTCCCACACAGAAACGCAAAAACTTTCACCAGAACTATCACCGGTAATAAGCACCTCTGCGTCCGCCATTTTGATTATTGAATACCACAGGGAATCCAGTAAATTCTATTTGGGCTGGCTGTGTCACTGGTGTTTACAAAATGGCGGTCGAAAGTCATGCAGCTTTGCAAGACTACGAATCGGCGATATTTCTTGAACTTACTGAAGAAGATGGGTTGTTTGTGACAGCAAGGTATATTTATTTAAGASTGAAACTCTTTTTATGTGTTTTAAAAACATTTAAAAATGGTAAGAGTGATCAGATTTATAGATAATTTCATGCACGCGGAACGCGCGGCTCTTTTATGTTTGATATTTTTATTTATTTATTTTAATCTGTAGGGGAATAAGTATTCGCAAAGTGCTATCAAACTTTCTTAAGATGTACTGTGATCCTGCGGCTCTTGTTATTGTTGTGAATGCATCAGATTATGAGGAGGTAAGCTTAAGTTTATGTTGATTTTGATAAGAAAATTTCTAAGATACCCGGACGTGAGATATTAAGTTATAAGGTGAACTCCTTTAAATAAGTAAGACTTAAACCACTGCCTTTCTTTAAACACTGACTGTGATAGTCTTAAAATCCCTTCCCGTTTTCCTTCCTTCCTCTCCTCTCCCTCCTTCATTTTACTATTCTTGGTGATTAATATATAAGACTTAATCATGGTCAATATTTAGTCACTTGCCTTTATTTTGTTTTTATTCTCACAATTTTTATGATTGTTTTTGTGTCAAAACAAGAATCACATTATCGAAAATCTTGAGACAGCTGGTGTGTTGGTTCCTAAAAGAATAACCACTGAATACAGCTCTTCAGATAGGTACTTACTGTACAAAATAATTGTTATTGAAATGATGATTAAGCTTGGCAATGCCTAGACTGATTCCACCAGNTTTTATGTATAGTTTAAAACACGAGAGAGAGTGTTTTATCAGGTATAAAGATTCGAGCCGAAGGCGAGAATCTTTATACCTGATAAAACACGATCTCGAGTGTTTTAAACGGCTTAAAAAACTCCAACACTAATTTGAAACTCAAATCCGTTAAAATTCTTGGAGAAATTGCCGTACAAATATGTTCAGAGATAAATGGGGCAAACTGATCATGCGCGAATCACTTTACAAAGCACTCTTGTCATCCCACATTGAATACGCATAAAGTAAAATAGAACCGCTCTTGGCTGTTCACTGAAATCGGTTGACATCCTGCATTGGTCAATGATCAGGTTTCAAACCTGAGACCTTTGCTAGGGTCATGGACCTTTATATCTGATAAAGGTCACCCTTATTAGTATTCTTTATATAAAGAATACTAATGAGGAGTGTTTTATCAGATATAAAGGTCCATGCATGTGACCAAATAGGCTCATTCTATTGGCCTAGTAGCTCATTAATTATGTATTCATGAGTTTTTTTAATTTTCGGTGAAAATATAGTTTACAGTAATTTGGTATCCCTGTGTCTGTCACTGCATAGTCGGTGGCTACAGATAGAGGGTTTGAGTGGTGGGGTATTTGATAGACCAAATTAGTGTTGTTCACACATTCTGAAATGCATTCTGTTTCATGTAACCAGAGAAAGTATTTATTTATCTGGAGGGGTCATGTTTGTAACATCACGTATCCTTGTGGTTGATATGCTGACCAAGAAGATGCCGGTTCACCTTGTGACTGGAATGGTAGTATTTAAAGCTCACAAGTGAGTATTCTTTAAAGCTTCCTCCATAGAAAAACCTAGTACCCTGTTTATCCTTTGTCTTTGCCATTTTATTATGTCTGACCAGGACTCCCAGACACTGAATTTGTCTTCAACCTTAGCTTCATGTCCACAACTGACATTCCTTGTCTACTGAACACTAGAGTCTAGATTGTAGTTTTGGTTTAAAATGGAATAGCTCATACTGTAAAATTTATACACACTGTGTTCGATTGCTCTCCAGCCTCAACTTGAAAGTACTGTCAGTAATATATATACTACAGTATTGTTTTGTGGTCTTGGGAGAGGGCTTTTAACACTAAGTGCAATTTTTTTAATAGAATTATTGAGTCATGTCAGGAAGCTTTCATACTAAGACTGTATAGAGAGAACAACAAGGTATCTATTAAATGACTACATGTACTTGCACAAAACAATGTGCTGGCATACACAGGCACATAGGACCTTGTGGCTGGTGTTATGTGACCACACCCACTGTGACCACACCTACCTTAAGTCATGCCATTTCTGTACATCATTTTATGTTATCTGATTGATTTTATTAAGGTGTTGTCACGATAGGGCCTATAGTGCGCCTATAGTTGAGCTTCGCGATCTCTTTTACGCTGTGTTAGCCTCAATTGTGTGCTAATATATTTAGAAATGTCGATAAAACTCGTGAGATTTCAAACTATTCACATTGTCTTCTATACTAACGAATCTCTTGCATTTGCACGGGCTGTTGTGAATAAAAGAATCTATTACATGGTTTTGAGGCTGACACAGCGTAAAAGAGATTACTAAAAGGGTTTATTGAGCTACATGATAGTATACTGTTAAACTGTGAAAATTGATTCACTGCTATGTCATTACAATGTAATTGTACTACCATTGGTATTTTTTATTCGACAGACTGGTTTCATCAAAGCCTTTTCAGACCAGCCAACAGCTTTCACTTCTGGATTCTGCAAAGTTGAAAGAGTTATGAAGAATTTGTTTGTGCGGAAGCTGTCACTATGGCCCAGGTTAACAGAAAATTATTGTTTAATGTTTGCAACCAGAAGTTTTGGTAGTAGTAAGTGTGTTATCGTTTTGGTTTCGAYAGTAAAGTTTTTTTTATTTCTGACGGGAAACACTGTGCAAAGGTCACAGTTGAATGTCTATTGTGTGGACACTCCCAAGGTTACATATTATATTGCATTATTATTGTTTTTTTTAACTTATTTTTCAAAAGTGTGCACCTTAAAAAGAAAAGAATACAAATGACTTTTTGTCTCATAATATCCATTATCTTACTAATATCAGTCCTGTGAATTCATTTTGTATGGCTCTAGGTTTCAAGCAACCATCAACGCCACACTTGAAAAACATAAGGTAAGCATTTATGTGGGGAGTGGTAATAAAGACCAAGAAAACAAGGTACAAAACACTAACTTGTTAATGCAACAATATGTTATTGTTCAAGTTTGGAGCCAATGGTTCTGTTTTTTCCCCTTGTAACATAAGTACTAGTAACTTGTCGCGCTGCAAAAGAAAAAAAAAACAAAAAAAAACAACAGATTAAACAAAACAAAACAAAAAAACTGCAAACAAACAAGTGAACAAATTTAAAAAAAAAACACAACAGGCCATGAAAAACGAAAAAACTGACGCAAGCTTTTGATGTTTTGCGTTTGTCACCTTGTCTGGGTACTGGAGTTTCTAGTGCAACAACAGAAAGAAGAACGAGATGTGTAAAACGAGAGATACTGACACTAAAGGCTTCAAATTTGAAATAATGTTTCTCGTTGCCCTTGCCATAAGCAGTGGCAACTGTCGCGCACATAGCTAGCTGTGCCTGTGATGTTTACTTAACAGTTAACAGCAAATGAATCTTTTTGAGAGCACACGAGAGATTCAAGTCGCTATGGTTCCGATATTGCAAAATACAAAACAAACTTTTTTATAATTCATAATTTATAARTTTTCTGCACATACATATCATTATAACGGGTGTATCATGGGCAATTTCAAGTGTTTTTCTCTCTTTCCTCTATAAATAAGATGACATATTCAAACATATTCAGTCTGACATTTTATGTAATGTTTACAACATTAGCGGCCGTGTCTTATGGGATTTTACAACCTCGAGCCGAAGGCGAGATATTGTAAAGCCTATACAAAGGGACGTGAATGTTGTAAATGACTTGTGAAACGTTTACAGGTGCATACATTCATAATCTGCTAAAAACTTAAAGATAAAATTGAATTTGGCTGAGAAAATTAGATTTGAAGTTTATGTAAATCAAGACAGTTTTATATCAAATATTACAACACTCTTCACGGTTGTGATTTCTATTGTGTTTCCCTCATTAATTATTCATRAGTTTTACAAGGCAAATTAAAGTACTAGAGTAACATCAGCTTCCTTATCGGCCATTATCTGCAGTATTAGCTATTAACTTTTGAGTTGGGCTGCCTGTGATTATTTCTGCCGAGCAAAACTTTYTATTGTATAATGAGAACCTGCTSTTMAATTGTCGCTGTCTAAGGCTGATTTAAACCTTAACTTATTTCTTCTGTCATACATCTGTTCCCATCAGATATCATTCTTGGCAAAATTTCACTTTAATTATTCATATTTTTTCCCATCAAACTACTTGGGCTACCTGTGTTTTTGCAAAGATTTTCTCGGAAGTAGCACCTATTGACMGACGAAAGAGAAAGTGTTGTTTAGGAGCTTCTCTCGTTCAACATGTCGCAAAGTTTATTGCTARGYGTTCACAATGACGCGAAAGTGTTTGATATCAATTGATRTTTATTAATGTCTGTAGAAGTATAACAGAGTATGTATTCATTATCGTTTAAACAATTTGGGTTACCTGTGTTTTTTTTTATCTGTTACCTGTGTTATTGTGAAATATATTCTCGGAAGTGGCGTCCTTATTTGGTCGTTATGACTGTGAAACCGAAASTGCTGTGTTGCAGAAAGTTGAGAAGCTTTGCTCAAAATGTCGATGTCTGAGGCCGATTTGGAGCTTATTTCTGCTGGTTTCACGGCTATTCTCGGCTATCAAGTTGTCCCACCGAGTCGTGGTCTTGGTTTGCCTAAACTTAACATCCAGGAAGTGTCAAAAGTGTTTAAGTGTACGTATATACCACTATCACTGGAAGGTGTTAACCCTGACAAAGTGTTTGATATTAATGTAAAATGTATAAATGGTTGGCAAATAACAATACAAGTAACAAWCGWKCACACCATCGCTAATATCAAGGCTGACCTTGAGATCAACCACGACATCGAGTCGAAAGACATSAGATTGATGTTTGAGGRGAACCCAGTGGAAGACCATCAAAGTGTTCGAGACATMGGCATTCCAAAGGGGGGAACATTGTTTTTGTTGTTACGACTTAGAGGGGGTGGCCCTGATTTTCAGTTGGACATTGATCTGTTGGACCCACCGCACAACTATGATTTTACCTACGTTAGGGATGATGGKAAWGTTTATYGTCGAGGTGGAAAGGAGTACAAGAGGCCATATGGATGGAAGAGAATTGCCTTSAAGGTTCTTGGCAAATATGAAGATGAYACTTGGCTTGGAACAGACGGAATACGTACACAGGAAGCCCAAGGTGAATGGCCCGTGTGCTACCACGGGACAAACATGCAGTCAGCCAAAAATATCTTGTCGTCTGGCTACAGGGCCGGTCCGCGTCAACGATTTGGTAAAGCGGTCTATTCCAGTCCTTCTCTTGACATGGTGGAACAGCAGGATTATGCAAAAAGTTTTGTACATAGGGGCACCACTTATAAGATCGCACTTCAAAACCGTGTCAATCCTTCTCCGGGCCACTTTGAAGTCATCTCTGCTGAGGAGACAGGGACAGGGGCCGAGTRTTGGTTATCACCGAAACATGACACAGGGAATAACATTCATGATATTAGGCCTTATGGCGTTTTGTTTAAGAAAGTTGGCTATAGTAGTGATGCCGTTGTTTACAATACGGTTTCGAGTTGTAACTTGCAATAAGCCATCTTGAGATAGACACAGAAAACATACAAGACACGAAATAAGTGGTAAATCACCCCTGTCCGTTAAAGAAATAAACTGTAGACTCTTAATAGCAATCATAAATTCGATGCGCAAAGCATATTTAATACTAGCCAGCAAGTACACTTAGTAACTCGAGATTGTTAATAATCTTTAGATGGATAGCGAGTTGGTAACATATCCACTGTAGCCGATTGTATTTTTAGCGGAGCTCCCGCGGGGGCCGAAGGCCCGCGCGAGCGGAGCACCATACCTAAGAAAAAATGGTATACCATCGAGTCCATTTTTCATGGACC